TTACATTTTTACACAATTATCTTTACTTTTTACTCCTTACATTTTTTAAAAAGGTAAGAAGTAGAAAGTCATTACTCCTGTTTCATTTTGGCTTGTTGTTTAAAAAGTATTATCCTGATAAACTGTGCCTCCTGGATCGAGTGAATTTAATTGTGGTTGGATGAGAAGTATAAATATAAATATCATTCTGATACTGTATTCAGTTTGGATACAATTAATCAAAGCTGCACGCCTTTAGAAAAAATATTTTTGAATAGGTCACCTCTCAATAAATGTATTTTGGAAAATCTAGCCACTCATTTTTACTCAATACTTTTACTTTTATTTCTTAAGTACATTTTATGTCAGAAATTTACTTTTGATACTTAAGTACAAAATAAATCAGGTTCTTTAAGACTTTTACTCAAGTAATATTCTTAGAGGAGATTTTAATTTTTACCAAAGTAATTTTATGATAAGATACTTGTACTTTTACTCAAGTTTCACTTTCAGGCACTTTATACAAGACTGATTTTAAATATTCGAGTTGAGGAAATGATAGAAGAAGAAAAGCGTTCAGTTGGAGGTCAAAAAGTCTCGTACGGTGAACGAGAAAAATAACACGCCGTGAAGAAACAGCAAGGAAAATGTGATTAGATGCAAAAAAGAAACACAGATACAGGAAAACATCAGAGTTTATAAAGATTATAGTTTTATTCTTTAAACTCTTCTTCCAGGACGTGTCCAGTGAGCACGCCCGCTCTCAGAAACTGACCGCCGAAGTCGAGCGTTTGAACCGGAAACTGCAAAGAGCTGAAGACGAGCTGAAGGCCAGGACAGATTCTCTGAAGCAGTCGGAGGAGAAGGTGGAGACGATCTCACGGAGGCTTCAGAAACGTCAGTCTGTCCTCCTCAGCTGCAGTCCAGACACGTCACACCAGGATGAGGGTCCAGAACCTGAAGCCGGAGCCCCCCGCTGTCAGGCAGCAGGGGAGCCGGAGAGGGAGCTGAGAGAGCGGGTGACGGAGCTGGAGAAGGAGGTGTGTGTGTTGAAAACGTTGCTCCAGGTGTGCTTGACGGCTGTCAGCTCACTCAAGACCACTTCCTTCGAGTGCGATGGTTTTGATTTCCGGAACTCCTCGTGTGTTTTTTTTATTTTTGTTATTTTATTTTTATCTCTGCTCATCAGTTTTGAAATGTCACCTCGGCTGTTGTTTGTCTGCCTTATCTCCTGCTCCTGCTGCAGAAACGCAGAGGACCTCCAGCACCGAGCTGTTCTGGGTCACAAAACTTCATCTCAGTCTGTTTTTAAAGATTTCTCTGCTGCTGGACGATGCAATTGTCAGTGATGCTGACCTTTGACCTCCACCAAAATCACGTTTATTCTAATAGATGCATACAGTCAGGATTATTGTGTGGGGAGGAGTTATGATTTTTGTTTACTCACCCAGCGGTGGGCACAGCTAACCAAAAAGTTAACTTCACTAACCACAAATCGACTAACGCTAAATCAATAAAAAAAATTAGTGGATGCTAATGCTAACCGCTAAGACGACTGTCACTCAGTCTGTCACACATCATCTCATCTTCTCCTTCCAGTTGAAGGCTGGTGAGACTCAGGCCTGTTGTTAGTTTTCTATTGGTTTAATTTGAAGGTGGGTGGGGTCATTTGCAGCAAATCGGCCAATCCAAACCAGAGTTATAGCTCTGTCTAACTTGTCATACGTCCAATTTACCCCTTTCATAATAAAATCATTTCTAGTTTATATTTTTATAAATACGGTTTGAAGTTAGTCAAACAAATAGCAAATACTTTCTTTACCATATTTTATACACAGTCAATGTTTTTGTTTGTTATTTAAATATTGTTAAAAGTTTACCTTTTTTGACGCTCTTTGAAGTTTAGCTGCTAAAGATGCTACATGCTACACACACAGTGCCTGACACGTCCTGCACTGTTTGTAAGAGAAGATAGTTTTTGTTTAATTCAAGATAAATGGCATAAAATAGCAGATTTAGACTTGCGATTTTTTTACTTAAAATTAGCAGAAGTTAATCAGTTAGCTAATAGTTTTTATAGTTAGTAAAAATGCTACTCCGCTAAGAAGATAGAAGAAGCTAGTTCCGCTATTAGCAGATTAGCGGAATTGTGCCCACTACAGTTGGTTCCAGTGGAAGGTGAAAACATCATGACCCAGCTGTAGTTTTTCAGTCTTTCTGAACACATAAAGCTTTAAAAATAAAAAATAAAATTATTAAAGCAGTAAAGTGCATTGTGGCATTAATATATTTCACTTTAGATGAGTAAAATGTGTTGTGAATAAGCAGGAATGATCCTAAAGCAGCATGAACAAAAATAGACATAATTAGTGAACGCCTGAGTCAGTGCTGTTGTGCTACCAAACATGAAAAACTGAGAGCTGCTGCAGACGAAGCACCGCCCCGCCGAGCAAAAATAAAACCCCTCTGATTCAAGTTTATTTATTATTACACATCATTTTTTTATACTTTTTAATTTAACTTGTCAGCCTTGTAGCGCAGACAGCGACAGTAATCAGAATGTTTGTGAGATTTCCTTCACTGACATTGGAATAAATATTCAAAACCTTTACAGCATCAAAGATGTTCCATGTTTTATTTTTAGATCCACAGAAAGGTTACGTATGTTTCATACTCCTACTTGACAGAGTAAATTAAAAGGTCAGCCGCTGATTTGATCCAAATTTAAATAACGTGAATATTTTTAGACATTTAGCACGACGCATGGCGTCATTCTGTTGCTCTTAAATTCTTAATATCCGTATTCCTCCTCCTCAGAGAGCAGTGGCGGTCGCAGCACACGAGGCTCTGCAGATGCGCTTGTCTCAGTCCCAGGAGACGTGCGAGCACCTCAAGGAGCAGCTGGAGGCGCTACGTAGGCACTCCCTCAGCCTGCAGGACTCCTGCACCAAACTACAAACACTCAACACTCAGCTACAGGTGAGCCGACACAAACACCAGAGCCGTCAAAGCACCTGGTGTCGTTTGACTCTTCAGAATATAATTTAGAGTGAGATATTTGAAGTGAAAGTCTGTGCTAACGTAATGAACAGTTAATATCTTACCTGTTGTAGATGGCTTGTTCACCTCAGCTTTAATCAATAACGTTTGATACTAACCCCTTGAGCCCCACGCCCTCTTTACACGGAGCCAAATTGCACTTCCTGTTTTCTCTTTCTGTTGATTTTGTTATCTGTCATTTAAACATGTTTGCCTGATGAGGAGTGGGGCACTGCCACCTTTAAACAACTCAAATTTAAACAGTTCTTACATGTTTGTTTTTTTGGCAGTAGCAATATATTCCTAATAAAAAGCTTGCACAAAAGTGCTACAGCTTGCTGCTGCTGCTTTTTGTGCAAATAACTATGTACCTCAAAACTGAATTAAAGGTTTGTCACAAAGTTAGAATAGAAATGCTTAAAAGGTTTAAAAGTAGCATTAGATTTGGATTAGCCGTTAGCTGAATTTGATCTACAACAGGTAAGATATTAACTGTTTATAACTACTACCACTTTAGGATAAAACAGGGTGCTGTATGTGTAAAAATCAAAGAACATTTAAAACACAAAACACTGAAATCAACAAAAACAATAAAAGAGGAGCAAATATAAACCTTTCTACAGAACCCATCATCAAAAGGTCCAAAGTGTCCCTTGAAGTACTCATAAATCGTTACATAAAAGAATCAGCGGAGGCAGAAAGAGTAGCTTCATTAGATTTTAACTCATTCTCTGTTTAATATTAAAATGCATGTGATCATTAAGTCATTAAGCGTTTAAGTCCTGCTTTGATCTGAGCTCATGTTTTATGAGGAAACACCAATCTTCCATCAGAGTTCACGAGTCACGACAGGATGTTCTAACACTACATATATTTAAATACCTCCACCTCTCCAAGTTCTCTTCCACCTGTTCCCTGCTCTCCCTACAGTGAACTCATTGCTCTTGATGATTATATTCTGTTTGGAACCACGCTCTCACCTTCTCTAAAATGCGTGCACACTTCCAGGTGGACCAAGCCAGCCTGAGCTCCCAGCATGCAGCAGCGCTGGCCCGCTGCAGCGAGGGCGAGGCCCGCAGCGCCGCCCTGCAGGCCGAGTCCAAGGTGTGGGCGAGGGAGCGCGAGGAGTCCGCGGCCAGGACGGAGGCTCTGAGGCGTGACCACGAGCGGCTGACGGCGCTGCAGCAGCAGCAGGAGGTGGAGCTGGAGGAGCTGCTGGAGAAACACTCCCAGATGAGGAGCAACTACCGGAGCCTGGAGGCTCAAAACAGGGAGCTGGAAGCCAGGTGACTGAAGTGGCGTTAGCTCAAAAAAACAAAAAAAAACCTTTAAAATCCTTATTTTTTCATCCTTCGTAGTACTTTCTCTCCTTTTAAACCTCATATATACACAAGAACGGAGTAAAATGATTATTCCATTTGCGACTTCAAGGTACAAGGAGCTGATGGATGGTAAAGCCCAGCTGGAGGAAAGAGAGCGAGAGATGAAGATGGAGAGACAGAAGCTGGAAGACGAGGCCCAGAGCAGGCTGGAGAGGGAGCGCGAGCTGGAGAGGCTGAAAGAAGACAGCGAGCGGTAACTAATCCAGACGTTCAGGAGATCTGAACAGCTCCTTCACGCCACTCGTGTCTGTCGGCGGGAACGCCTCCATATGAAGCACGGCGAGCAGCGCAGGAATCGATCTGAATGCAGATGTGCTAAATAATGCACTGATTGCAGGCCTTTGGTTGGAGAAAGGAAGAAAAGCTTTGCTCTGTAAAACCAAAAAAACACAACTTTAAACCTATCCAAACCTGCAAGATGTGCTCATTTTTATTAAATTTTTTAACTTTACTCAAATCTGCGGTTTAAATCGAGCACTTCTGATTAGAGTTCCTCTTGAGGTGGATGAGTCTATAATGATAATGATCATCATAACAAGAGTCTTGTGTACTGTAATTAATTAATCAACTATCGTCATGAAGATGCAATTGATTACTGGCTGGTTCTAATGACAGGCTGTCACTGAACCCATCAGACCAAAAATAACAGTATTGTATAGAAATGTAAATTATAGTGTAATGGATCAGAGTAAAGGATTAGATCCTCTTAAATATGAACGTGCAGGTGGTTAATTCTAAGCGATTAATCTCTTTTTATACACACAGTTCAGCCTTTTCGTCCCTCTGTAGGCAGTTTAACAATCCTCAGGGATGTTCTGTCTCAGCTACACCATCTCTGACAACCCAGAACTTTTTATTTATTTTTTATTTTTTGAAATTTGTGTTCTGGAAATATTCCCTCGACACTAAATCAGCTTGAAGGTGAGCGAGCTCATCCTCACCGCCGAGGCTCCCCCCCCCCCCCTCCACCCCCCCACATCTGAGATGGCTGGAAAGTGCCGAGTTCCAGCCTCTCGTAAATCCTCTGATAAGTGCGTGTCAACATCCGTAAATCAAAAACTTCATTTCCTCCCTAAATCATGCCTGCGCGCCAAGGAAAACAAACACACAAATGTGTGTGTAAATACACGCGCCCAGAGCTACCCAATTAGGCTGTGTGCAGTCAAACTGTAGCTTCATCAAAATGTTGGAGTTTTGTTTGTTTCTGTGCTTCAGTTGGCTCTGGATGGTGATAGATGCAGCACTCTGAGCGTTACAGGCTTTAAATATTTAAACCTGAAGGAACAGTTTAAATCAGCTGAAGATGTTGTAGGTGAGCGAAACCTTATTAAACCCTTTATTAATAATCACCACATCTCTGTGTGAAACTGGAGCTCACTAAGGCTATATTTACACTGCAGGCAAATGTGACCCATATTTTGTTTTTTGATAGTCTGAACTTGACATAGTGCTGTCTGAACAATGTATCACAATATATAAGCCTTCAGATCATATCTACTGATAATCAGTTCCACTAAAGCACTAACAGGGGAACTAATTACCTGATTAGTGCTTTAGGGCTTTTGCTCATTTCTTAATTGATTAGTGGATTAGTACTTCCTAAATCCATGGGCTGCATTTATAAGCACTAATTGAGTTCTTTAAATATTATTGATCAACATTATTGTCAACAGCTGAGGGTGAAAGCTGTCAGATGTGTTGTTCATATGTGTCACTTATCCACTAGATCGGTGGTTTTCAAAAGTTTTTGCTTCCGACCCACAAAATAACAGTTGCAGACACTCATGACTCACTTGTTTACGTATGCAAACTTTGCTAATAATTCTGTTAAACATGGGAATAATAGCTATAAACAAACATAGAAACTAAGATACTAATTTTTAAACATTTATGATTATTTCAAAAAAATTGCAATAATCATGATGAAAATATTCCATTAGCATTTTTTTTGCATTTAAATTGGTGTCTGGTAGGAATGCGCGATATAAACGATATACCGTAGAAACGATATAAATTTGTCCTATGATAGAGATTTGTAGTCTACCAGCCAACCACGCAATTCTTTTTGATGATGTAACAAGTTGGAGTCAAAACAGAGGAAGTGGGAAGCAGCCTGGCTGAGAGCGCAAATGAGGAGGGGGGAAAAAACTTATCCGGACCTGGTTCAGGTGTGTGAAAATGAACGCCGAGCTGTTTACATGTTTACGAGACGGCGTGTCCTCCGGTCAGATGCCGACCGACCACACTGCCTGCAGCGGGAGGAGCGCGTGCCGCGGCATGTGTGAAGGGCTCGACACACTGGAGGCGACGTCGCTCGCTCTCCATTCATTTCCACGCAGCGAGGCGACTGTCATGCTGCGTTCACACCGAACGTGATTTCAGCTTCAAAATCGCAGCCAATGCTGAAGTTTGAAGCTTGTGCACTTTGAGGTCAGACGCAGGTCAGCTCTTGAAGCGCTGCACGGCAACAGCCTCCC